AAGAAAGATTATTCGCAATAGAAGACATGCTAATTAAAGTCATTTATTATCCTCACTGATGACACAGTCTTATCAGTGCTCATTTACAAGCACAGCACAGGGCCATCTCATATACAGCGTAAACATTTCCTTGAACAGAATCGGATTAATCCTGCTACCTAAGTCTCTGTGAGAGACACATCCAAGACTGCTAAACAGAGGATAAATGGCATGATGTGAAATACCAATTTGTGTAGCTCATCAGCTGTAGGATGTTTGGAGTCCATTATCCTGGGTTCAACTTTAGAAACAAATGTAACAGAGGGGCTTAAGGAATGCACATCTTCTCTTTGGGCCATGATTGCAGTGTAGCCATCTCTTCATACGTGCAATGACAATTTAACCCCCCAAAAAATGAAAAGAAAAAAGAAGCAGCACGATACTACGGTGTATTCTAGTTTAACATTTATAGTTTTATTTCTGCAAAAGAATGTTTACTGTGGTTTGTAATGGACAGGTTACATTTTCACCACATTTTTTTTAGTTTATTGCTTTTAAAGTAGAGTAAAAATCAGGTTAAGGTTCTGCAGGCTTTAGCTGTGAGAAGATTTGTGTGCTTGAGAAGGCAAGCAGGGGCTTCAAGCTGTTGAGCATGTGCCCTTGTTTGTCAAAGTCTGCCTAATAACTTCATTGCACAGGCTCCCCCTGCTTTTTGAGCTTTCATCTGCTAGTTCTTTCACCTCCACGAAGTAGTTACTTCTCACTATGAAATGTACCATTAGTCTATTTAGTAAGGTCTTAAGGCAGTAGCCTTTGCTTTTTGCATTCCAGGGTACTGCTGTTACTTTGTTTCAGATCACACACACAAAAAAAAAAAAAAGTAGTTGGAAGCCACTGTTATAATGCCAAAGCTCCACGAGGAGAGACAAATCCCTTTGGGGTTGTGTCAGAAAGGGAATCTGGCATAAAACTCTGCCAAAGCATCACACAATATGGTTTTGGCTCCTGAAATTATGTTCCCATACAAGTAAAATTAATTTGCAGTTGCATTTTGTAAAGCCTTTGAAAATAATATCTTTTCATTTTCAGACCATCAATCAAAATCAGTTGTAAAGCAAAACATCTCTTTTTTGTAAACAAAACCAAGTAATATTTGCACCTACAACCAACCACTGAATAACAACAAATCTTAATAGGTAACTAAGTGGAAAGACCTTGGTTTCACTGACTAACTCCTGGATATAATTTTCCCGCTTGCCAGCCTAACTCCTTATGCCAACTTTTAACATCTTGCAAAACTGCACAGTGTCCTGTTGGAGAAATTTTAAGTTGTCCATTGCAGTTTAGCTGTAAGGGAACAAAGGTTTTTAGAAGACCAGGTTGCACACTGAATAGGTACAGTATGAATACAATTATTACAAAACACACAATTTGCTGCTTTAGTGTCCTGACAGATGTAAAGAAATATTAAGCTTGGATTCAAGTCCAAGCAACAAAAACACAAAACAATAATAAAATAATAACATTACAGAGCAGCTGTTGTTGTGCAAAGGAAAAAGAATATCTTCCAATGTTTATTACAACCTGTGTTCACATAAATGTAAGAAGTCTGGTTGTTGTAGATTTTTAGCAATGACCTAACGTCATAACCATCATGTAAACATTTTCTATACATGGTGTAAGGGACTGGGGGACTTCGGCTACAGAAAGCTACAGTTTTAAATGCATTTGCTTAACTGAGGTTTGAACAGGGTTTGTACAACAACAAAGATTCATGACTAAAAATGAATAGCTAGTGTTAGAATGTATACACGTGGACACTTGTAACCAAAAGGCAGACTAAAACCTCTAACCAGTCTGATTAATTCATTTACACAAGCTAAACAGGAGGGTTTTTGTACACTCTTGAAACAGTATCCAAATGCTCAGCTCAAAAAACAAAACAAGAAAAAAGAAAAAACTGACTGCAATGCTTTAAATTTAGTTAGCAATGCTAATACTCTCAAAACACTACATTCAGTTTTAATTTTCCATTAGGAGGTAGGGGAGAAAACCAACAATACCAGCATATAAATGCAGGTTCTCCAGCAACATTGATGCAGTGCATGTAAACACATTCTGATTTCCTGCCATTACCTGATGTCTCCTAGGAACAGTTTGTGAATGGAGAAGTAATTAACCTAAGCAATATGTAATAAAACTCCTTGTGAGGAGTTTTAGACTAGAAAATAGACCTGCTTACTCAACTACTCTGTAACTATCATTTTCCCACTTTTCTAATTTCTGCTCGTCATGAATGTCACAACAAGAATTGGATAACTCAAAGTATAACCTCCACAGATTTTGCTACATCATACAATATTTTGACAATTTCTGCCAAAAAAAAAAAAAAAAAAAAAAAAAAAGAAAAATGATATCAGTAGCATTCTGAGAATGCGAAACGTACTTGTCAATACAGACTAAACTGTTGCAATTAAAATAAAAAGAGTTTAAGACTAAATAGCACATGTTTAAGTGTTTTGTTCTTTTAAAATCAGTTTCTATACATCTGACAGCTTGTAAAGGCCTCAAGTGAAAGGAAAGTTTTATAGCATAGAGGAGAATATGGCCCCACCCAACCACCCCATTATGGCCTGTTCAGCTTCATAACAGCTGAGACTGCAAAAAAAAAAAAAAAAAAAAAGGTCCATCTTGAGTCCTGGCTATGAGCTGTAGAAATCCTGCCATGAGTAAGTAAAATTCTCATTTACATAAATTCATAGCTGCTAAGGCATGAGTATACTAGTCATGAATGCGCATGCAGATGACTGTGCGTCACTTGTAAAGGCAGGCAGATATAGTCAAGCTACTAATAACGTTAATGCTTTAGGGTCTCTTAACTGTGCAATGATTATAGCTGGAGCAAATATCAGCCACCTGAATTTGAATTATTTTACGGGAAACATCAAAGAGAATAAATCAGGTACAGCATCTACCCTGTAAACATACAGCATGTTTACAGGCATCTGAAAATGTTTAACTTTTTTAAAAATAAAACGTAATTTAAAAGCAAATACACATAACGTGTACTCAAACAGGAATGTTATGGAGTGCTGAAATATTTGTAGGAAATACTGGAATAATATCAGCACCCACTGCAAAGTTATGCTGTGATGGCAAGGGGAAGATGACTGTTTAGAGAGAATGCCAGTCACGTCTGAGCTTTAGATAGAGAAGAAGCTGACCACGTCCAGTTTCTGGATTTTAGCTGACAGCAGCAAATCTGGTGGCGGTGTGGGGCGAAGGCCAGTAGCTTTGGTGAGGCTCCAAAACCATAATGGAGGATAGGATTGTGAGGTCTACAGCGTTGTCCTTGACTTATTAGGAAGTCATGGTCTTAGTGCCCACTACATGCTCTTCATCTATAGCTTTTAACACAGAGACCTGAAAATGGAAAGGAATTAAGATCTGGGTCCAGTATTCTCACATCACCTTGATTTTTGTGTAAATATGTTTGATCCAGTATGGCATGATGACTTATCAAATTGATAGGCTAGGACATTTCTACCACTAAATCATGTTAAAGTACACTAGTACACTTTAAAATAGCACATAAGAATACAAGTGTTCTAGGCTATAACAAAAGTAAGGAATTTTTCTTAATTATTACATTATTAAAATGGACACTAAGTAAATATAGTGAAGACAGCAGAGTTCATTTATGACTAAATGAAATGCAATATATCAGAAAATATCCAAATAAAATTTGAACTGTGGCCCTGGTTCATTGCCGTTTAGAACTTCTTTTTTTTTTCCAGGACACAGGAACTCACCATAAACTGGTCCCCATTAGTGAACCTCCTCTCAATCTCTTTTCCCAGGTCATTGTCTGGCAATTTAAGGTCCTCTCTGGTTTCTCCGTTGTCATCCATCAGAGCCAAGAAACCATCAGCCACATCAATTACCTAAATTTGCCATTATAAACAGAATGGAAGAGGTTAATAGTTTAGGAAATCATAAGTGTGATGCAAGTACTTTTTCCTATTGCAGTTGCTGTAAACGTTAATTTTAATGCCTTCTTCATAACATTGTGGTGATTCACACCAACAGAAAGCATTTACTGTGAAGCAGCAATACACAGAACATTGTGGTTTAGATCAATAAGAAAGCCCTAAAAACAAGAAAACGTTTATTTAAAAAAAAAAAAAAAAAAAAATCACAAATTAATTGAACATTTTACCCCAATTCTAATTCTGAATGATTATTTTATATGTAAATATGTTGAACTACTAAAGCTGGGAGATTTTTTTTTTTTTTTACACTATTATAACTGTGCTTCTAAGTGTTGTAGCTGTATATTGCAGTGGTATCACCTAAAATATTAAAAGAATGTCTTTTGTCACTATACACATGAGATTCAGAGCATCTCCTACCCAGTGCAGACATGTGGGAAAAGAAGAAGGGGGGGGGGCACTATATACATATGAACAGTCCTAATTAAAAAAAAATATCCACTATACAAATATACAAATTAGGGCTGTGCAATATGTCCCAAAATCTCATATCCCAATATAAGACATTTCTCATCCCGATAACGACATATCACAAAATAGTGCATTTTCTGTAAATTCTGCGAATCTCCGGGAACTCTACTTGTGCGAAGTGTTTTCAGTTGGGCGTCGTGTACCTGGAGTCGAGTGTTTTGACTGATCCATGAAACTGCTGCGGGGAAAAGCCTTTTCTAAAGTTTGAGTCTAAGGTTTATTTTGAGCACCTCTCTTTTTTGCTTCTCATCTGTAAACTCTCTCCACAGTCTTACACACGAGTCTTGCGTAGCTAGTAGAAGAGGTTTGCCATGTTTGAGTCTGGTGGGGACTAGTTTGCAGCATTATTTGAATATTACAGTTTTCTGGTTCGTGTCAGACTTTTCATAACCAAACTATATCCATGCTACAGAGGTAGCCCCTCATTTAGAAATAAGATCTGCGATTTGTTTTGACTGGTTTTTCTGTTTGGACCTGCCTGGTTCTCCCTCATCTTCACTGGCTATGCTGGTATTCTCTGTGGTGACCATCCAAACAAGGAAAAAAATCTTGCCGTAAACATTGTACTTTGCAACATCACGAAACAAACGACAGCATATAATATGAAACGATAGACATTTTAATTTCATCATCCGATATAGTTACTCATATCGCACAGCCCTAATACAAATATTGGAAAAAATAACACTATTCATTTCTATTTTTTATGCATTTACAGTGTGGGTTAAATATTGCACAGTGGTATTCTGGGCTAGAGGAAAAACCCTATTATTTTATACATACTAAAACCAGAAGGAACTAGTACCTGATGCCAATTACATGGAATTTCCGAGATTATTAAGTTAGTGATACCAAATTAAGGTAACAGTAGTATAATTTTTACATCTGTATATCATTTGATATTGCTACAAGATCCAGATGATGCAATTCACAAACAGTGCAAGATGGCTGATTACTCACTTTGAACATTTGCAGTTACAGCAATTATCATTTCTCATTCAAATTTAAACTTAGCAGTCTAGCAATGTGCTCTTTCATTCTTTGTTGTGCATGCGTCAACCACCTATCAGGGACAGTGTCATGTATAGTCTTTAATTCTAAACCATTACCAAAAATAAATAAATAAATAAAAGTGCACACTATGTGGAAAAGCAACTAGACAACCGCAGACACCAAAGAAGTTTTGAAGTGTATGGTCTGGGTGGCACATCTATACAAAGCCTGAAATCTGTCACGTGGGCCTCTATACATCCATAAGTAGAACGTAACATAATAAACCACCACCAGGAAAAATGCAAATTATAAGACTCATTTGCTACATAGAAGATTTCATTATATGAAGAAAAAGATGCCCAAAGATGCATTTTCTGAAAACTACGGCCTCAAAATAGCCCAACAGTTAGAGAAGACTGCTTATTGGTCAATCCAAAACCTGACGGACCAGTCTGATACCTGTATATATTTTTTTTTAAACATACTGAAGCAACACTTCAGCTCTGATAAATGAGACACACCCCTTCAGCAGTCAAGAAACCATTCATTCCTCTCACGCTTTAAACACATTTCCAAACAGTTACTGCCCTTCAGTACTAAATTGTTTAACCTGCACAGCAAGCTATATTGCAAGATATGTCCAAAAGAAACATTCACCTGATAGTCTTTCCTTGTTATATTTGGAACATCCATGTTGTGGGTAGACGGGCAGATATCTTCATACTTTTTCTGAGTAAAGATGTCAAGTCCAGTAAGGTGAACCTGGGAACAATGAACTGATTAGAGCTTACCTTGTGCCAAAGAAGCATTCTGTATTACTTGTAAAACTGAGACCCATCAGGCTAAAGTTCCTTAAGCGCTGAATTCTAAAGTATAGACAAAGTGATTTTACCTTTGCATGTCCATGCTTGCCAGTCTTGGAGGTAGACATGTCAACTATCTTACAGGGACGTCCTTTCAGCATGACATAGCCATTCTTCCTCAGTGCAGAGCACTGCATTGGGTATGTTGTAGAGGCCCCAGCATCAGCAGTGGAGAAATCATCATCTGCCATAGTGGATCCACAGGTTGTACTGTATCACCAGGATACATTTTTTAAAATTAAATATATACAATAAAAAATAACAATAACAATAATAATAATAATAATAATAATAATAAGATGATGATTTGTATAGTGTCAAAAACCAATGGCCCATTGCAAGTTTACAAGAGGAATTATATAAGTGACATTAAAAAGTGAGTAATCAGCACAGATTTCCAAATTATAAACATTATGACAACTTAGCTCAATCTATCACAATTCAATACTTGATCTAATGTCAGCCATCCCTTTCGAATTACTTTGAGTTTGTTTACTTTGCAATTGTTTTAAAAGAATTATTGCATTATTCTAAAAGTTCAATAAAGCTATAATTTTAACATGCAGTCCCTAAACTAGTGTAAATATTTCTAGGCGTTGCACCCATACACTGTATCCAAACACTGCTGCCTGCTATCCACCCGAAAAGCTAACGGCTAACGTCATATGTGAACGTGCTAAATCTATTTGGACACCAAGCTGTTAGGTTCCCAAATGTTCCCATAAACACTACTAAGTGAAAAAAATAATACCCCAACACGGTAACTTGTCAGCCACCCTTTTCGTTCACTGGGTCAAAACAAAAGGTCGAGTTTTCCTCACACTGGCTAGGCTGCTAAGGTTAGACAAGCCCCATTAACGACCTAGCAGGTTACGTGGCAGCTGGGCCAGATGATCATCCGCCACTACAGCTTTAAAACAGTACGCTAGCCGCACCTTCATCCTGTCCCTTTTCTGTCATAGTTAGCCACGTTAGCTCGCTAACCCAACCTACATCCACTGACACTGGATAACGATACTGCTGCTAATGTTAGCTTGACAACAGTGCTAAATAAAAACCTCAACGAGCGCCCACTAATTCCAAGTTACCGACAAACTATCGAGATAACGAATGCATCACAGTGTTAGAGATGAGGTGAGTTTTCATTACACCGCAAAGAAGCGCTGCACATAATGTCAGCGCTACTGTCAAAAATATTAAACTTGAGCCTGAACATTTAGCTTACCTTATATCTTAAAGAGAAAAGGGAGAGTCACTTCGCATGCGTGGAGCTTTTGTACCGCATGAGAAGCGGAGAGGGCAGGTACGGGCTCCGGTGGCATGTGTGACGTGTTAGTAGGAGGAGGGTGGGGGCGCTCATATAAACGTTGCAACGTTACGTGCTGGAGCGCAGTGGCTTCCTGAAGATAACTTCCGCCCTGCCTCGCACACCTGTACAGACCTATCCAAAAAAGCTATTTTTTTAAAGTCCCCCTGCATCAACAGTAGGCTATATCAAAACTAGTAAAGTATTTTAAAGCATTTATGAGCTCATTTAATTCGAATCTTCAAATCAAATCATGTAAAACAGGGACACCTACATAATAAGTACACCCAGGTCCACATTTTTGGGCAAAGCACAGTTTTTGTAGTTTTGATTCTGTAGACCACCAGAATGGTTTTTAAATCAAACAGTCAAGACATGATGTGCTTGAGGTTCAGACCTTCAGGTTTAATTCACTGGGTTTAATGAAAATAGTGCATTAACTGTTTAGAAATTTGCTGAGTTAATCAGTGCAGGCAGATAAATTCAGTCCATCAGTTTCCATGATGTCTTCATTTGCCATTTGTCCATCAGTGAAATGTAATAAAACAGCAAATTGAAAATTGTGATTTAAAATACTTATTTTATTTTTTCTTGTACAAAGAAAATCAGACATTATATTTTCTTAAAAGCATAAAGTATATGGCCTGTTAACTTGTAATGTGAACATTACAATTTATATATATTTCTCTAGGGCAAAGGTTGTTATTGTTGTGGTTAAAGATAAACATAGATAGAAAAAGCACCATCCTGTGTTTCCATGTGTGCATTAACCCATGATGATTTTAATTTACAGCACAACAGTGGTGCTTACAGTGAAGTGATGACACTGACAACTGCAAATTGGTCTTGAATTATTCCCTGGGTGTTGCTGGGGGCTGCGTAAAACAGATTGTGTTTCAGGGTAAGCAGATGTGTCTGAAAGCAAAGTAAATTTCTTCTATTATCAGTTAAACACTCATCTCCAACCATCTGTTCTCTTTGCATGGAATTTCCAAAGTGACTGGCCTTTTTTGTGTGTTGCTACATACTGTAAACACACAAAGTTCCTCCTTTTTTTACGTTTTTCTTTTTTCTTTTTTTTTTACAGGTGCACTTTGTAAGATGATGCAAAAATTAATAATAATAATTATAATATAAATCTTTATCAGTCTTTAAAATCACATCTAATACTTCACTTCAATCTAAACTGAGTATAAATCAATGTTCTTTCAAATTCACGTAATTTAACATCACAACAGGGACTACACCATGATTAGCTTTCAAAGCACTGATCAGTTTTACAAAGTAAACAAAGGCTTGCACTCCCTATTAATATACTCACTGGGTAACTCCATTTGTGTAAGACACATACATGGATATACATACATTATTCTGCAGATTAAAGGTGACATATTAAACAACCAGTAACAATAGACATAATAAGTTTCTGAATGCACAGAAAATACTGACATGCTCCTGTAAGTCAATAATATCCGGTGGTGGCAGCTAAACATTCATACAGCATAATAGTTTTTTGTCTCTTGTGTTTCAAGTTTAAACATCAGTGCTGTTTCATTAGCTCATTCATTAATAGCACAGTTTTAAGTTTTTTCATGCTTTAATGCCAATAATCTAGCACTATTTTTTATAACCACTTGGGGGCAGAAGATGAAAGCTGATAAGTTGAGTATTTTACACACTAGCACAAAGAGCAAAATTAGTATTAATTTGAAACCAAGGATGAATTCATATCCAATATTCATTCTCCTTTTTGCTCTATTTGTTGCTCTCCCCTTGTTCTTATGCCGATATCTAGCTCTTTAGCTCCTAAATATTTCAGTATTCATAAGCTGGTCTCTATTCAGTTTTGGTCTTGAGTAGGTAGTTTACATTTAGTTTATATACTTAAAAATAATAGTGTGCAATGGCTCTAAATATCACTATGAGGATGATAAAAGAGAACCAAAACAGTAGTAAGTATCCTGGAAACTAATGACGCTACATATATAAACTAAGTCTCGCAGAGCTGAGGTGAACTGCAGAGTTGGGTTGTAATTTTCTGTAGAGTCAGTCATGTCATGTGTTGTCAGTGTAAAATGATTGTAGCTTCTTTGAAAGTTTCCCTCATATTTTGATAAAATGTAAACCTTTCTCCGTGCATAACGGAAACATGACACTTTCCAACATTTCAGCGTTGGTTTTTGTGTAGTTCACAAACCTTAAAACATTTCTCTTTAACAAATCAGGTAGTCGTTATAACACTAAATTGATAAGTGTGTGATAAACGAGCATCTATGAAATAATATCGAACATACACTTGTATATCATAGAATAAGACTTCAAAAGCAAACAGCTTTTGTTTTAGGCATCTGTGGATGATTTAAGCTCTTGCAGTTCACTATTATCTGTAGGGATCTGACGTCCCTTGTGGAAGATAGCAGCAATCTCTTCAAAGGATTTGCCCTTGGTTTCCGGCACCCGAAAATAAATAAATAGTACGAAGCCAAGAAGCAGCACGGCAAACAGGATGAACACGTAAGAACCCAACCAATCCTGATGAGAAATATTAAAAACACACATCAGGAATTATTAGTGAAGCTGAGATATGTCAACCTATATGGGTTCACGAGAAGCACAAGTTTACATTGCCTATGTGTGTCTTTTCCCCCTCACCTGTATATACTGAAAGGTCATGCCTATGACGAAGTTGCAGGTCCAGTTACAGCAGCCAGCTAGAGCAATAGCAGCAGGTCGAGGTCCCTGGCTGAACAGTTCAGCCACTATGAACCACGGAATGGGACCAGGCCCAATCTCAAAGAAACTTACAAAGAGGAAGATAGCTGACATGCTGACGTAGCTCATCCACGAATATTCATTCTGGAGGAAAGAGCACATCAATCAAGAAAAACAGTTTTCTTCAAATTTATGGACATTAAAAAGGAAAAAATGTGGTTTGAGCACTTTTTGTTACTTTCTGTTCATCGGTGTGTCTCACTGAGTATGCACAAGAAATGTAGGAGCTCTCTCTGCAGAACCCAACCTTCCAGCTATTGTTTCTGGCTTTATTCCCCACTCAAAATGACATCTGAACTTAACACATAATAATATTCTATAATTATCTTTAAATGTAATTATGCAATTGCCTATTTTATACAGTCTTTTTGTTTACTTTACTTTTAAAATACAGACTGATAAACAAGTTGATCAAGATATCAACAGTGATGTAACTTTTCTGCACTACATAATATGATCAAAGCATTGCTAAAAGACTGAAGGTGTGAATCTGAAGTGACAAACCTGCAATTTGAGGCCCACTGTCATGGCAACAGCACAGCAACACATTCCCCCAAGACCAACCAGAGTTAGAGTGCGTCTGCCAGCCCTGTCCACCAGTGCCACCTGGAACACATATATACATATAAATGTGTGTGTGTGTTTACATGTATGTAACAGTGTGTAGATTGAAGAAACAATACTATGCCAGTACATGGTTCCTGTTTTACAAGTTTATGTGTGTTTTGTATTCATATTGCTACTCACAGACACCATAGTGAAGATCATGTTGATGACCCCGACTCCTATAGTGGCATAAACTGGATGACTGACACCAGCTCGAGAGAAGATAGCGGTAGAGTAGTAAAAGATCTTAAAGAGAAAACAAGCAAAGGTTTTCTTGACACTCTGAGTGGTTGCATACTCAGGAAAAGTCACAGGTCTGTAGTCAATTAACTCAGACAGAGTTAAAACTGCTTTTTCCACTCACAGCATTGATGCCAGACAACTGCTGAGAGAGGTGCATCATGAGGGCAACAACCAGCTGTTTTCTGTATACAGAAGAGCAGATCTGGGAGAAAACAGGCAAAAGTGAAATATTGTTTAAAAAAACAAACTTTTTTTTTTTTTGATAAATTTGTGTGAATGGTGTTTTTTTTCTCCCTATCTTTGGGGGATTCAGTGGAAATACCAGAATGCTGTATTATACACTCAGAAATATTCTGGTTGCAATGTTATTTCTAGTGGCTCAGGCTATTCGAAATACAAAAATAACTGTTTTAAAGCCATAAAACCTGAACTTTTCTTTTGAGGTGCTGCTGAAGTATTGACATTTTGTGAAAATGAATGGTAAACGGTGTATAAACAATAAAACTGCACAGACACCTACCAAAGAAAAGATAGAGACTCTGGCCTCTTTGTTTGCCTCTTCTTTTTCCCTTCTCATCTCTTCCAGATCCATAGTTGGATCATACGGCCCCTTTAGACGACACAGACCTGAAACAAATCATAAAATTTTCCAATTCCTTACTTAAATAACTGTTGTAGGACTATAATTTAAAATGTCCTGTACAGTTAAAAACATGCTTTTAAAAATGGCTTTAATATGGGAGGCAAAATGCTGGCGTTAATTTTTTGAGTGTTCCTGGAGAGCAGAAAAGCACTATAAAAGAATCAGTAAATGTGCCAAAAAGTATTGCCAGAGAAAAGTAAAAGCTATTTATGAATCTTGGAAATTCAGTTATTCGCCATATTGCCAGGAGTTGCTGGGAGTGCCTATCAAGGTCTCCAAAAATAATAAAAACACTTCCCCGGTGTCCTGTTTTTTGGTCTTTTTGTTTTGTTATCCTCTATTTTTTCTCTTTGTTCTAAGCTAAACAAACCAGCTGCCAACAGTGTGTCTAATACCTCTCATGTGCAATAATTTACCCAAGCATACTGCCAAAATATACATTTGAAAGTTCCACGATGAGGAGTACGTTTCTGTACTTACTTTGTCGAGCCTCTTGCTCCTTGCCCAATAGGATGTAAAGGTATCGTGGACTCTCAGGACAAAGAGGCAGCAGAAGGGATTGTAATATTGCTGGAGCTCCAGACAGACCAAGCAACAGGGGCCACATTTTATCATTACCAAGCGCAAAATCCAAACCTATTACCTGCATCAACATATACACTTCAGATTATATCCTCCATGTGCTCTTGAGCAAAGATGATGTGCATGTACATGTGTGTGGATGACTGTAGCTCACCTGGCTGATTAGAATGCCAATGACAACAGCGAGCTGGTGTAATGCTCCCAGAGATCCTCTGTAAGCTTTTGGTGCAATCTCCCCAATGTACATAGGGACTAGCCCAGATGCCAGACCTTAAATACACATTATAAGTGAAACCATTTAAATGAATACATTTGCAGTTACAGATACGACAGCATAACAAGACTGTTGTTTGATGTCCATGTGCAATTTAGGAACGCTTGTTCATTTAGAAATCCCAGCGCAGTGTTTACATAAAACCCTTAAACACTGGGATTTCATTATGTGAGTGTTGATTGAAGACTGTAAGACGTTCGTTAATGTACCACAATAGAAACCCATAACAGCGCGGCCTGAGATGATCATGATGTGTGGCTTCCACATCTTACAAAGACCCATCAGCAGTCCAGCTGCTACAGCCAGAACATTGATCATTAACATCCCTTTTACCCTGCAAAACAAGAGAAAGTAAACTGACAGTTTAATACAAAAAACGTTTCTCCCTAAACTTGCTACATCACTCCTGTCGTTAGTCTAATCACTCTCCATACTCTAGCTTTTAGTTTTTTAACCAAATTTGTTTCACTTGTGCCATTATAATTCATTTTTCTTTTCTTACCTCCCTTTCAGATCGCCCACAAATCCAACCAAGAAGGAGGATACCATGCCACCGATGGAGAAGATTGCCACTGACAATGACCAATACATGATCACAGAAGGGTGGTGACCTGGGTCTTCTTCTGTGATGTTTTCTGATGAGCCAGCAGCCCTTTCTGTCCACACACCCAGGGACTGGCCATAACTCTTTTCAATGATCTACGATACAGACACAGACATGTTATCAAACAGTACAAGGATGGCTGCAAACATAGAGATAGACTTGACTCAAAATTTGCTTGCACAAATAAATACAAATATGAATATAGAAAATATAGAAATTTCATCAAAGCACAGACAGTACATTAGTTAATTTTTTCTTCATTCATTCAATCATTTTCTTAACTTTTTGATGTTCATTACAAAGTTGCAATATTGATGATATACTGATATATATATAAAAGTTTGTAAATTTCAAATCTTCTGTAGTGAGGTGGTAGTGGAACCTGGTAGATTCTGGTTCACTATTTGGTGAAGTTTTACCTGCTAAAACTATTCAGTTAGATTTAGGAAAAGATTATTATTCGGTTTCAAATACGCCCACTCAAGCACTAACACTACACTGAAAGTTAAATGTACTGAGCGTGTAGAGGATCTTCCCAAGTGTGTATATGTGTGCTGTAGTAATCAGAAGGTCATTTTTATCATCTCTTACAGCCCATGACTAAATTGGACAGAATGTAAACTTGCAACAATGGACAATAAGATTATTTTCAAACTTCACTGTCATTTCACTAAGGACTCATAAATGACTACGCACTAACTATCTAACAGCTTTAAAAATCCTATATCAGTCAATCTCTACTTCCCAGTCATCCAGTCTAGTGCTAAATATAAAGCTTACCTTACCTAACAATGTAATCAAAAAGCACCAAATTGCTTCCTTTTAATCCCTCCTGCTGACCCTGGCTGGCAGGGACAATTGGGTAGCTTAGTAAGGGTGAAGTAGTCTACCTTTTGGGGTGCGTTGATGACTCCAAGACTGTATCCAAATTGTAGGGATCCCAGAGTGGCTGTGAACACAGCCAGAGCTAGAGTGCCTGTTAGCTGCTGCAGAAATGAACAGTAATGATGAGTCCACAGAAATTAATACACGAACAAACACAAGCTGCTTTATTTATAATAAACTTAGTGTTATTTCACAGTAGAAATAAAAATACAGTGCTGTGCGAAGGCCTGTGCGAAGGTTTTGCGCCACCTCTCAGTTCTTTATATAACACTGTGGCTAATCCAATAATAGCCAGTTATTGAAACATGCAAATATACATGGAAATACAATCTATAAAGCAAAAATAAAGTTTATACAACTCCAATAAACTTGAAAGTGAATATTTGGTATGACCACCCTTATATAACCCATGTCATAAGCTGTGGTGGACCTCCCCGGAAATGTAATTACATGTCACACTGACAGCTACTGTAATTAGCCTATTACGTAGCATCTCAACAGGAGTAACTATCAAGATATAAATTCCCTGATGTCAGGAAATTGCTTGAAGGGGATTGCAGAAACTACTGGAATGGATTCGAGAAGAAGGGAGTGGGGGACAAGTAGGGACCCAGGAGGGAAAATGCCCCACCCTTTTATATGTTTTTATTGTGGTTGGCACCAAGACACAACCACAGGTCAATTAATACACAGATAAGCATGAATGCCAGTGAGAGCACTGGCCACTTACACTGGTTACATAGCAGTCTTTACAAAGATTCACTGCAATCTCAGTCAGCCAAAATATATAATCTCTCCAGCATGTCCTGAGCTTGTAGGTCATACCCAAAAAAGAGGCATTCGGGAGGCATCCTGGTCTGATGCCAATGCCACCTCAGCGGCCGCCTTTCAGTAAAGAGGAATAGCAACTCTACTCTGAGCCTCTCCCACATGACCAAGCTCGACACCCTATGGCTAAGGCTAAGCAAAGACACCCTTCAGAGAAGAGAAAACTCATTCCTGCTGCTCTTATCCACAATTTTATTTTGTTGGTCACTGGCCACAGCTCATGGCCACAGCTGGGAGTAGGACCCTAGATCAACCTATAAAGCTTGAGATTTGCTTTTAAGCTCAGCTCCTTTAACTCAGCTCTCTGTCAAACTCCTGCTCCATTCTCCCCTCACTTGTGAACAAGACTCAGAGCTCCTTAAACTACTCAATTTGGGGCAGGAACTCCTCTCTGACCCAAAGTGGGCAGTCTACCATTAACTGAGAACCATGGCTTTGCACTTGGAGGTGCTAATTCCCATTTCCTGCCAGTCACTTCACATTCCGCTCCAAACTGCTCTAACACAAGCTGGATGTAACGTCCTGAATGTTCAAGTTCAAGTTCAATTCAGATTGATGTATATAGCACCACATCACAACAGCAGACACTTCAAGGCCCTTTGCATTGTAAGGTAAAGAGTGTACAGTAGCAGAGAAAATCTCAAAAACAAATGACCTCCTGTGAAAAAGATGGCAACAGTGGGAATGGAAAATTCAATTTTAAAAGGAAGAAAACTCTGGCAGAACCAGGCTTAGGAAGGGGCAGTCATCTGCCATGACTGGCCAAGGGTGAGGGGAGGAAGACAGCACAAAAGACACATTGTGAAAGAGACCCAGAGAATAATGATAACTAATCTCAGACAGAGTGGTGTATGAACACCCAATGATTAAAAAAGGGGAGCGAATGAGAAACATTCAGGCCCCAGCAGCTCAGGCCTTTTGCAGAGTAACTAAGGGAGTATTCATGGTCACCTAATCTATATCTTTTATCAAAAAAGAAAGTTGTATGCCTAATCTTACAAGTAAATGTCTGTCTCCCATAAACAAACTGGGAGCTGGTTCCAAAGAAGAGGGGCCCAAAAACCTGCATCCCACATGACTTTGAAATATCCTTTTAATATTCTCATTATATACTACACAAAACAGTAAGAGAACCAACTAATCTGGAAAAAGCAGAGCTGATATCCAGAGTCCATGAAATCGGACCCCCTCTACCTCTTGGCTGTGCCTAGAGATTGTGTCCATAAATATTAAGAACAGACTCAATGAGTCTGACTTATTGCTGACAATGAGAACCAAGCATTCTCTACAGTACAGGAGATGAACGGGGAACAGAAGCAACTAAAAACAACAAAAGCTGAACACAGTATAGACAGTTATAGCGCAAACATTTGCCTAATACTAAGCTCAGGGCATGCTGGCATGGGACAGGAGGAGTAAACAATTGCTGCTTTCCTAACTTTTTGGGGGAGGAAAGGTAACATTTTTTTTTTTTCGAGTACATTTTCCAGCTGAGCATTAGACAGTCAGATCAACAGGTAGAGCATTATTCGCTCTACCTGCTTAGGCTGTTACTCCTACATTGCTCCATGACACCCAAATGGCTCTCTCAAGTAGGCAGGACATCTCCAAATTTCAGATAACCTCCAGTCTGGGATGAATGCAGCAGTGGAGTCCTTCTTCTTTAAAATGACAGACAGAATGCACCTTCCCGTTTGATACCCTTTGATCCCATTACAATTAATATAATACGGATCATTGATAACTGACTTTATGACCCATTGTACATTAATGGTGCTAGTTTCAGTCATTATGCAAATGTACAAGGTTGGGAAACTTGCAGTCAGCTGAGACTGAAGAAGTCACTTGGATGAGTGAAAATGCTACACCCACATGAATAGAATCTATTGTCATGTATTCCTGAAGAAGAAGAATAAAATTGAATAAGGTCCAGCTCCTTAGGTATCCAGGTAGCAGGAATAAACACCAAACAGGAGAAATATATACAAACAAGAGGAGGACATACAAAAAAAGAGAAAGGCACACAATAGAGGCAAAATCTAAAGAAATGAGGGGTGGCTCAAAGAGTTACTCCTTTATTCACTATTTCTGTAAATAAATGCTTTCACACAAAAGTAATTAAACAAATTTAAGGTCTCTTTGAAGCAGACACATCATAATTTTAGTCACGAGAGTGTCTTAAGCAAGGTATTAATGCAAGCAGGACGCCCTGATGATTAAAAGCCAGTGTCCTCTCGTTTAACAGTCTGTAAGCTTTAAGCATCTGTACGCCAACGACACCTGCTTTCAAACACTGCTTTCCATGAACCAGTAAAAGGAGACAGATATGTAGCCATTTATAAAGCGCAAAGAATGTAAAGAATGTACATGTCCAAATACGCTTACCTTTCCCGTCTCCATGCTGGGTCCAAAGTGTCAGGAGTTTAGCAATGATCAAGCAGCATGCCTGATTACACTGTGTCCACTGGCTAAAGACAAACACACACATGGCACATGCTCATAGATGCACACACATCCCAGGAAGACCTTTTACAAATAAATGAAGCAATAATATTCCTAATTTCAATGCACAAACATACATACTGTTATAGTATATCATATTTATGGCAAGTATAATGAGACAACGAAGAATTTACGTTGAAAAGTTCTGATCTAAAGATCTTCTGTGTGGTGCTTCCACTTGATTATTATGAAACATGACGTTTATATTGCAATTAAATATGGAATCCAAAGTTAGCATACTGTTGCTAAAAAAAAATGCTTTTCTTGATAGGAGCAATGACATTATCTTTCTCTTCCTCTCACTCTTACACCACACACACACACACACACACACACATTTGCTGTTAATGATATACTTGAGTGCTGGACTGGACAAAGTCTGAGGATCAGACGTAATACGAATGTGCAAACTTGCAAAAAACAACTGACTCTCTCATAAACATGTTTAGAAAGCACACAACTCGAGAAGAGTAATGCTAGTTTCATTTATTTCTCTCTTACAGCATCTCTTTTACAAAACAAATAAATCCCAAAACAGGACATTAGTAATGCTCTTTTAAAATAAAGAAAACAAGAATTAAATTGAATAAAGAATAAAGTGGTTTCGTCTTTGAAAGGAGAAACCTCAGTGTAATGACAGTCAGCATTTTCCAATGAGGGGAGCGAATTAAATGATTAACAAACACCTCAATAATGCCCCATTCCCACATGATCATTAATCAGACACAGAAATGCACGTGTGCACACATACACACACATGGAAGACAGTGGTTTCTGCAGCTAAGCTCTTTATTGCTATAATGTTAGAGCCTGCTCCCCCTAACAGAGATCGGTAACCCTAAGTTACAGGTGCACAGTAACAGCTACTACTGTATATGGATGTGTAAAAAATCCTTGAAAATACAACAGAAAACATTCACCAATTTAACAGAAAATAAGAACTTCAATCAGAGGATCATTACATTGAGAAACATGTCCATTTTTTGTGAACCAGAGAACCAATTTACTGAGAAATCTAAGAGCAAAGTTATTACAAAACAGGAGTCCATCTTTTTAGGCTCTGACTTTAAATTTAAACCATCACCGGGACTATTATATGTGGCAGGTGTGCCAGCTGGTTGCATTTAGGTTGAAGGTGTGAGTTTTAGGTCTTTAGTGGTTTTAATTTACTGCTCATGCAAAGTCTTCATATTTTTATAGTTACAGTAACTGAGTTCTACATGAGCTTCCCGAAGGTTGTCTCCAGGTGGTGGGTTGATGACGGTTTTAATGTAAAGCCAAAATCGCCTCAATTTTGACAAGTAAAATCAATTTCATAATTTTGATGATTGAGCTGTGCAAAGTATTTGGACATATATGGCAAAGTTTCGTCATAATTAGTTGCTCCTTTCAAAGAATAATCAAACTCTTAAATTTGTTAATGTACATCTCCATAAGTGGAGAAAAATAACATCGCCAGTGAGTTACGTTAGATAATAACCTTCACAGAGATTAAAAAAAACAAAAAACAAAAACAAACCTGTAATGTAACCATATCGGCCAAAAAAAAAAGCAGTAATCTTTTGGCCTCTGATTAAGTTTTGACAACTTAATCATGCTAGGCACTGTACAAACAGTTAGGAGCCAAAAATCAGAAGAACCAACCAAGGAGGAGCATGATTCAAGACGACCCCACAGTTGTTAACAACGAGTGCTTTCACATGCACACAGTATTTGGGATAGTAGCTCATATCCTGTTGAGGCTATGAGCTCTTTATATGCATTGTCATATTTCTGCAGCTAAGCGGCTGTAAGAGTGAACAGCCAAGACACTACTGTGTTCATGGAAACACACAAAACACCCCCCTCCCCCCCCAAAATCAGCCATTAATATTGCCTATTTTAAACGTATGGTGTTCAGACACCAACTCATAAACTTCATACTACGAAGATAAAATTATAAATCTGCATGTAAACACACTCAGTGTTGCTTTGATCAGATTAAGGTAAGTTTACACACAAAGACATGAATTACTTTATTCTCGCCGGACATTGATTTCAATGTCCAACTTTGATTGAGATACACAAATTCACACGCACGCATACATACACACTAAAATACACTCCTGATTTCAGAGACACAGATGTGCTGTACATTTCATGAAACTTCAAAGACTGTCTGACTCAAAACTGTCCCACGGAAAAATAAAAGAACAGAAATAAACAAAACAAAAAAAACCCCACTCCCATTGCTCGTTTAATATTACAGTATATCTGATGCAGCACCTTCAGAGTTTAAAGACGTAAAAGTGAAGAGATCATCGTCACGATGTTGGCGGAAAGGAGTGAGGTGAGGAAGGAAAGGAAAACAAAGAAGGGAAGAGGACAGGATGGACCAGTGATTTCATTTTAAAGGGACACAGATATCATTTTTGCATACTGTTAAGACCCACCTGACGGCAGAATGTCTCACCGCATCTCTATCGGTGGCGTGCGATCGAACATTAAATCACAACTCGGTTTTCTCAGAAACCAAAAGATAGTGAGGGGAGGAAGTGGAGGACGAAGGGAGTGTCAAAGGAGAAAGAAAATCAATCAGGCTGTCTGCTTTCATCGCTGACATTCAAAGAGGATTTGTCATCTCTCAGCTGCTCTCCCTGCACCGTTCTATTAGAAGTATATTTAAATTTAGATTAAATTGTATTCATATATTGCTTCTCCAATCTCTGAGGTGTAGTAGTATTCCACACACAGTGGGTAGGAAGTAAAGGTATTGATGAATATGGGTCTCAAAGGACTGAAAATGAGTTTGAGCTACCAAGATGGACAGGAGTGAAGGGAGGGGGGTTAAGAAAGGTCAAAAGTGTATTTCTACATTTGTCAAACACTTGGATGCACTGGTCAGTTTTGAGGGAATAAAGAGAAAAATTGAGCTACATAAAAAGAAGAGTTGCAGAGAAACAGGAAAGAAGAGATCGTTTGGAAAGTCGGTGGCACCAGTTTGCCAGTCAGCTGGATGGCTTCTGAATGACCCGGTTTAATCTAGAATAACTTCTGTCTTTATTTAGAATTGTTTTTTTTTTCCACTAAAATAACTTCTTTTTCTCTCTCTACACTTTGTTAGCCTCTCCAGTGTGGCAACAGTTCATTTGTGGCATCTCGGTGAGTCGGGTTCACTTGTGAGATATGTGGTGGGTCAAGGTCGGCTGCCACCAGTGGGAGAGTGAGGCAGAGTGAGTAAGGGGAGACATCACCAGTTCATCATAGAGTTTCTGTTGAGCGTCATGAAGAAAACTTGGCTGCTACCTCCTGAGCGCACGGATGCAAAGAATACCTGGATAAAAAAAAACATGAAAAGCATGTGTTCTCAAAAAGCACAATTATTATTAGCAATGATGCAATTGAATTTACTTTTATCAAATAATACGTTAAGTGTACTCGAGACATCACCACCTACAAACTGTGACATATGTATAGGTATGTCCAACCTGCATCTAAAACTCTTTTTCACTAGAAGGGACCACATCCTGAGTTAGGCTAGGCTACATTTATTGAAAGATAAGCATATATCCATATAGCCTGAAGAAGGCATTAATGAGGACTGGCAGCAGCTCCTGGGCCGAGCAGATTCACAGTACTAATGAGAAGTGTGGGAAATGAGAAAGGAGAAGGAGATAATAAACTGCCTGGAGTGCAGGGAGGCATATATAAACCATGGGACTGAAAGGGGAGTGTATGAGATATGGTCCCACTCTTGAAATACAGCAGTATTATTCCCAAAATGCTAAAATTATGCATGGCAGTTCATTCAAACTTTGTTGTTTGGTTATGTTTCGGGTGCACTGTATAATAAACTTAGTTCTTAGAATTCATGTTTTAAAATCTTCCGTATGCAAATGTGGGCTCTGCTCTATCCATACAGAAAAGCACTGCAACCGCAAAACACTCGAGATAGGTCAAAACCAGAGCAGGTAATGTTAGGTAATTTTACAGTATGTGACTAGTGCCACACTAGTCCAAAGCAGTAAGTCAGCATATTACCTTGTCATTCCGCTCACACAGGAATTTTAGTCTCTGGGCTCTCTTGTGCATAAAAACTCCATCCAGGTGACCCGTTTCTACAGAACGGATCTCTATGGCTTTCTCACCCCAGCCCATAATCTGATTAGAATGAATATAGGCTGAAAAAGAGAAAAACATTAAAAAAAATATGTAAAACAGTGTATAATCAGATTTACATACAGTTCATTTCCTTGTATATATAAAAACTCAACAGACCACAGTGTAGAAAGACTTTATAACTTTATTACTCACATATTTTCTTTTCTTGAAAACTTAACTAGCAAGTTATGCAGTGATGCAATGTTTTACATGTGCTGACCTATTCTTTGTACTTTTTCCACACTGCACAGCAGTAAGAGGTCAGAGGCGACTATTGAGCAGTTCAACTGAAATAAACATGGCAGTTCTTAAACCTTGCCAGTTGAGCTCACAGGACAGATTTTTAATAATCCAGGTAGAACTAGCATTATTGTACTAATGTAACACTACTAGCCACCCCATGATAATACTTTCTACAACACAAGAAAGAAACAGTATTTTTAGAGTCTTTTCTGGAGTTCTCAAACATACAGATGCATGGCAAACACAGCAAGCAACATTAAGTGTCTTATTAGGGTTCTGGGACACCACATACTGTCACAACAGTTTCAATGGGCCTTGACATCAATTCTCCAAGTGGGAAGGAGCATCATGTGGAATATAGGGATGGAACAACTAGCTTGCAAAAATATATATCATCCTTTTGTGTTCAGATGATGGTGGTTAAGAGCTATGTTAAACCACATAGGTCTACTCAAAACTCAGAACAAGTTTGCATTGGTTTACAGTGGACCTACCTACTATTACAATTTAACACAAACCATATCAGTGAACTGCTTCACTATAAGAGCTAGTGGTTTCTATTCATG